TTTACACATAGACCTGAAATAGCTCCACTTTAACAGTTTCCCATTGGGCTTCTCCCCGTTCAGGTTCTCTGTTCCTGATTTACATCCTGTAAACATGTGGTCCTACTTTAAATAAAGTCCAAACTGCATTAAGACTAATTAGGTTTTGCTCAGATGTTCCCTCTGCTCTTTCTCCCTGGTCTGTTGTTGTGTTTAATTTTTAGTGGTTAATCTTTATCATACTTTTTACATTTTTCTGGCAGTCAGAGATTTTTTTTAACAAAAACAGGTTTATTTACCTTAGTAACTAACCTTCCTCCTGCGTCTACATCAGACAGGAGCTACAGAATTGCTCTTTGTGTCTCATAAAAAAAAAAAAAAAAAAAAAAACTCAATGGGGGAATGGCGGAAGAATGGAGGGAAAGAAAAACGGAGGGAGGTGAGGAGGAGGGTTGTGAAAATTGCCTTTGGCTGCCACCCAGGGCCCGGTCTTTGTGGTAATGAAGGGTTAGAGGCAACGTTATTGCTCCCAGATGCCGTGCGGCTCCTCCACATCGCTTTGATGAACGGCTCAAGTCACCAGGACTTTTCTATCAAACTCCCATCAACATACACATCACCACATATGCACAAACACACACAAAACAGGCAGCCCCTTAAAACAACGCAGAGGGTTCAAACCAGCGTCTTCTTGGTTTTACCAACCAATCAACTCCCATTTGCTAATTTGCTACAGAATGTGTAAGCTCACCATGTATGCATGCATGTTTTGCGGGGTGTTAAGTTTCCACTTTTGATTATGTCCAATCAACATTTCACAGCGGTACTTAAGTCTTTCAGAATTTCTGTTTTGAATGGTTAACAGCACAGAGATATGCATGTATGAGTGCAGGAGGGACCGTCCACTATAATTTTTTTCAATGAGTGAGCCATTACTCACTAACACGACAAATCCAGCGAAAGTTTATTTTATTCTCACACCAATCAATGAAATGCTATGGCAGCTGAAGGTAGAAACAAAAAACATTAAAGACAAAAACTAAAGGGGACATCAGTGGTTTAGTTGGATATGTTGGGTTAAAAGTCTATAAAAGAGTTTTTATATATCAGGTGGGTTCAGTCCCTTTAATCCGTCACCCATAAATTAAATCCAGGCTCTTTATTGGTAAATAAATAAACTCCAAATGTGTGTGATTTAATCTTACAGAAGATCTGTTCTTTTTATGCCTCAGAAGTTCACTTGACGCCATGAAGATCATTAAGACCAAGGGACACAGTTGAGCTGTAGAGCTAGATTGTAAAATAATACTCTAAGCTGTGCATGAGCACTTTTCAACCCATCAACCAAAAACAGATAGAAAAAAAACACCAGAGGGAAAAACCACAAAGTCGTTGCTAGATTTGGTAAATTAGCAGCGTAATTTTGGAAAAAAATAAAATATTAAAAATAAATTTTACATTATTGTACTTTTTACTCTTACTTGAGTAAAAGTATGATAAAGTATTACTACTCCGCCCATTATGAGATTCTTCACTTTGTGAAAACAAGCTTGTTTGATCAAATATGCGCCATTAAGCATGGACGTGCGAAGTACTGTAGGGGTGCTGGGGTGCTGCAACACCCCTTAGTGGCAAGAAAAAAAAATGTAATTAAAAATCCTTTACACAAATTATGAAGTTCTTATGAATATTTTAGGAAATATTTTAACTTTATTTTATTTTACTATTATGTGTATTTGGATTTTTATTTAATTATTTTGAGGCCTAGTCTACACAAATTCATGTAAGTAACATTGTCATGGCAACATCAAGCAAGCTAGAGTTCGCGGCAGCAGACTAGTAAATTTACATAGTCTAATGAAAGAAACGAGGAAGAAATATGGCACAGAAACGCATTTCGGATTCGTCTGCACGAGAGCCTTTATTTCCATTACCCCAAAGCGCACCTGAACATTTGGACACCTGTAACCAGGCAGGGCACCCTGCCTGTAGCTCAAAGTTAGAGCATGAGGCTGCGACACTTTCATATCTATTCGTGCAGTTTAATGTAACCATATTATTCTGTGTTCTTTTGATCCTGTCTTCTTCATGTAACGGATGTGGTATACTGTTCATTAACGTTTAAATATTTCTTGTGGTTTGCATAAAAGGATTTTGGAGCTAATAGTCATGTGTTACTCAGGTTAATGCCAGCTGACCAAATCTACGCTGTTGTAGTGCTATTGTAACTTTAATTAATAGAGCATATATTCAGCTGAGAACTGAGGATGTCTGTGTGTTACAGACCTTCATTATGTGCACTGAAGTGTATATGACAATAAAGTAGTGAATCTAAATCTATTTAAGGATTTATTTTTATTGTATTTAAATAGCCCTATTGGCTCATAGGTCTTTTTTCCCAAAAAAACAATTTTTTTACAGCCCTGCCATAGAGACAGACTTTCTTCTTATTTGTACTCAAGGCTTATTAGTTAAATGTTATTTTCCATCTGATGAGTCTGCTGTGTCATTTGGAGGGAGGTGAAAACACAGTAAACAGAATACTTTAATTTAACCTTCTACATACTGTAGTTATTGATTTTTTTAAAGTTTTAAAATTCAACAAATGTACTTTAAAGGATGTTCATTACTGTGTAATTATCATCAAGTCAGGTTATTTATACATTTTGATCTTATTCTTTAAAACACCCGAATTTGTATATTAATACTTGGTTTAATCTTAAATTTTTTATAAAATATTACATTTATTGTTATGAATGTGGGTCACTTACTCAGTATTTGGGTGGCCTTTTTTTAACCAAATGCTTTTTTACTCTTACTTGAGTAATTTCTTTAGAGGCTATTTTTACTTTTGCTTGAGTGGAAATATAAGGAATTGGCATTACCTTTATATAGTACAATTTACGGATACTCTACCCACTTCTGTAAATGTTAGGCCTCTAAGTAGGAGAATCTATTAATGGGAAAACAGTTATGTGTTCTGTCCAAAGTAGTCCTTTGTGCAAAAATAGAAGAATTGTTAAAATGTTGGAAAATAACTAAAAAAAGCCCCAAATGCAGTTTGACATATAAAATTCAACAAGGTTCTGCTTGGTGGGAGAAAAACACACTGAACTCAACATCCTCAATATTAACAGAAGACAGAAAAAAGCAGCACTGCACAGAAATGTGTCAGAATATCAAAGTTCAGATCTAATGTAATAAAGTTATTATTCAATGAATAGTAGACAAATATTTTAGTCTTTAAATGTGCTGAGTTGGTGGAGACATAACCCAAAAGGACTTGGAGCTGTTGTCAAGTACTGACCCATGCAGGGGGGGAGTCTAAATGAACAGCATACTTATCAGAATTTTATTTGTAAACCATTTTTTTCCTTTTTCAAATTTTGCAGACTTGGTTCAAATAAAGTGTTCATGGACAGAATCTCGCTCCTTATTGGTGCATTTTGCTTTATTTGCCTCTGTGCTAGTATTTAATGTCTGAAATCTGTACCGTTGCCCACTCATGCTGACTGATTTTATGGGAACATATGGGAAAGCACTCAGTCCCTAAACAAACACGGGAAAAGACTGAAAAACTTAGCTGACTGTTAGAGGGAATAGTTATCTGATTGCTGCTATAATGCAAATGCACACATAACGTCACACTGCACACGTTTCTTAAGATCTTGTTTATCCGTAACACCTATCGTCACGTCCAAACAGTTGATATTCCCTGTCTCTCCTTAAGTTCGCTTTACTTTCCCTCATTCTCTAGACACCCAGTAGTCCTCTACCCTCCTCCTCCTTCCTTCTTTTCCAGTTCTCCTGCTTGAATTTACTGGCCAGAGGAAAGGAAAATGTATGAATCAATCCAAGGCTGCTCACTCCCCGGGAGAGGGGAAAGCCAAAGAATGAGAGGGAACAAGGGAACTGAAAAGAAAATAAAAAAACTAGGAAAGCCAAGATGGAGAGATGCTGAACCAAAAGAAATAAAAAAAAAGGAAGGGGGGGGAGAATGGGTGGGGGGAAGATGGCTGTACTTACCAATGCCATAAATGATGATGTCAGCATTCAGCAGTCTGGGACGACTGCATGTTTTGTTTTTCTTACTTGTGTTTGTGTAAGTGTGTGTAGTAGACACCAAGGAGCGATGCCAAATGCATCTGTGTTTCTATGTGCTCACGTGTGTCTCTGTGGAGATTTTACATGCTTTCAGGGGGATATGACCATTTGGCTGCAAAGGTCATAAGTCCTTTGATGAAGGAGTTTGGTCCCACATGAAATCCCCTGCATCTCTCCACTCTTACTCTGACACCAACACACACTCACACTTGGTTGGGCAGGGCACGCCTGCGGTTAGCCTTCCAGATGGTTTTAAGGTTACTTAGAGACTACTATAGGAGAAGCAACATATGCATGTGCGTTGAGCACATGTTTTTAGAAACTCTTTCACTCTGACTTCTTTTTTTCAGTGCAATTTTGTTAATTCTTACTTTACTGTGTGCAGTAAAACATTCAAACTTTCCAACAATAGATCCTGAGGAGCACAACCACAACATTTGTGTGAATTAGAGAGAGCCGGCATGTCTCGGACTGAGGTGACTAGCTTTGAGGTTGCCTCCCTGATACATAAATAGTTGGGCGTTTGTATACCACAGAGTTGGGTGCAGATTTACAAGTACAAGAGATTTTAAGTCTCTGGTGTGTCCTTGTATATGTGTGTGTGTGCAAAGTCTTAATCAGAACCAGATTCTTTTGTCTTTTTCTTCCATTTCATCATCCTGGGAACTTAGAATAAAGCCTCTAATTTTGGATATTTTCCCTCTTTATGTTTCAAAAGCTAATTGTGCAATCTAAATGTCTTGTTTCTCACAAAAAAAAGAAGAAAGAAAACAAACCTTAACACTGCAGTCTCTGCTGGTCTAACGTTGTTATTACAACTGTATAGGTTTAAAGCACCAATTTTATTTTAAAATACATTCTTCCAGTCATTAAGCACCCATTTCCTGACCAAAGTGTCCCTCTCTCACCCCCTGCAGGAGAAGGAGAAGAAGTACATGCTTCCAGTGGATAACCTGAAGCTGCGAGATGTGGAAAAGGGTTTCATGTCCAGCAAGCACATTTTTGCTCTCTTCAACACTGAACAGAGGTGGCGTTACCCACCCATACTTTTCCTACACACTGAGGCTTAAGTAAAAATGTATGAGATTATTCACATGCAAGGTTTGGACTTATAACTCAAGGATTATGCAGGTAGGAGTGCTACTTTAACATGCATTTGTTTTAACAAACCAACCAATAAGGTTATGTCATCTGGCACAACTAGGAAACTAAAGCTATTCCTACAAACGTTGTGCCGAGGTTATGACTTTGTTAGTGTAAGCACGGACATCTTGGATCACAAAATGATTCCATTCGATTAGATTAGATGAGCTTTATTGATCTCACAGTGGAGAAACTCACTGGTCACATATTGGCATAGTAAGAAGAGTAAAGAAGGTGCAAACAAGGAGGAAAAAGGTGCATTAAGAATAGACAATATATATACAGTATATCAGGGTATATACAGTATATCAAGATAAATAAGGATTAAGGTGCAAGTGTACATGTATCACACACAATGAAAATAAAAATAAGAAATAAGGATGGCTTATATACAGGTGGATTGACTTTTACATTAAAGGTAGGTGCAGTAGGTAAATGCAGTCTCACACTTTGGATTACCTCCAATAACGATGACGTTTTTTACATCCCTCATTATTGTATTGGCTGCTCTAAAAGTGGTTTAGAAATAGCAGAAATGATTTGTCTTTTTTAAACAAATTTAGCATCATTTAAATGGAAATAAACTTGTTTTTTACAGCTATGTATTTTTTGCCAATGCGCAGAACAGAGGACCCAGTATTCAGGCAATACAGACAATGGGATTATTAAAAAGTTCAGTTTAAAAGTTCAGTCCAAAGCCTGAGAAACACGTAGGATCCAGCCAGTAGGCTGGCAACAAGATGCGGCGGATGCCGCCCAGAGTGTCCCAGACGCTGCAGAACGGGAGGACATGGAGGAGTCTGAAGACGGGTCAGGCAAACTGATCAGAACAGGAACCCCCAGGCTCAGAGGTCCAGGAGTCCAAAGACAATTCAGGCATACCATTCAGATGGGAACAGGCAGGCTCAGTGGTTGAGAGGCAGAACAGGATCAGGTAATCAGAAACACTAAGTTAATGCTAAAACCCTCTCACCAGACAGACTTAGTGCTTGAGAGGCAGAACAGGTCAGGATAGAGAAATCAGAAACACCAAGGAACTCTAAAAACACACTCACCAATGGCTAGAGAGAACAAGAATAATCTGGCCCTTATGACTGGATGCAAGCACCTTAAATAGAGGCAGGAGTAGGTGGATCAGATGAGAGGTTATAAGAAACCAGGGAGAGTTAGACAGGTGAAAGGACTGAGAAATTAAGCCAGTCATAAGTGCCAAGATCATGACATTTTTTGCAAAGCGGCAATTTATTAACCTGACAACAGCCAGATGCATGTCTCGCTCCGCCTAGCTCCACTCACATACATCTGGGAAACCCGCTCATTGAAAGTGATTTCCCCAACCGAATTTATGGTCTGTCCAATCAGGACGCAGGGCGGGTGTGTCCTGGAGTGGAGAAGCGACCGTGAGATTCCAACAACAATGGCGGCTCGCATTGAGGAAGCAAGCGTTAGCATTGATGCTGCTATTTCTTCTGTGTTGTCCAATCTATCTGATATTGTTTCATTAAAAGAACATCAGAGAACGGCTTTGAAGGCTTTTGTTGGTGGAAACGATGTTTTCGCCCTTCTCCCGACCGGATTTGGCAAGAGCTTGATCTACCAAATGGCTCCTCCTCTCACAGCGTCACGGGTTAGCTTCGGTGTGAGTGGTTGAAATAGCACGTCAATAAAGATGACAGACAAGTGGCTTATCCAATCATATGCAAGGAATTTTGATAAGGCCCAGCCTTCAGTAAAGGCAATTCCTATGGCGGGTTCCCAGATGTTTGTGAGTGGAGCTAGGCGGAGCGAGACATGCATCTGGCTGTTGTCAGGTTAACATTTTATATGACAAGGAGAAAAAATGTCCTCATAACAAATTAGTGACAAAGGATGTCAAAAAAAAATTCAAAAATTTTATAAATCCGATGAGGTAAAAAAAAAAGCACATTTTGTAAAAAATAAAAAAAATAATCCAAATGGTTGATTTCATTTTTCTGTAGCTGCTTGCGTAGCATCTTTTGACCCACAGTTTTACTTCCATAGAAATGTGTATAAGGACTACCGTCAACTGGAGCTGGCCTGTGAGAGCCAGGAAGATGTTGATGCATGGAAGGCCTCCTTCCTCAGAGCTGGAGTTTATCCTGAGCGAGTAACCGTGAGCATATCTTTTTATTTATTGACTTATTGATTTATTGATGGCATGAATTAAATCCTAGATATCCCTTAAAACATACAGCATTTGTACAAATACAGTCTTGTAAAAATATGTATCAGTTTCATTGTCGGTTTTATTGTTGCCATGTCCTAAATGTTGTCTGTCCTTTTTAATGTCTTTGCATTGGTGTTGTGCTCCACGTAGGAGAAGGAAGGAAAGGTACGGCATTCTCTCCACCCTTTTTTTTCAACATTTAAAAAACATTTTTAAGAGAATTGGTCAACTTTTTATTCATTCAATTTGTTAAACTGGCAGTAATCAGTAATCTTAAGTATTAATGAGGACATTTCACATAAATTCTAGATATAAAAATCAGGACATTAAAAACAGTTATCTGTTTTGTTAAATTAATTTATATACAATAAGTTTCTTCCTAAGTTATTTAAATGTTCAAAACAACTAATGAAAATAAAAGACTGTAATCTTAAATGGTACAGAGCTCCAATAAAAGTTCCTCTTCAAATATTCACATGTTTGAGGCAATGTAGGGAATTTTGAGAATTATGAATTCTCCCAGGGATTTTCATCAAAAATGGTTTCTTATTATATGGGATTTATTGGTGTGTTTTTTTCAACATTTTACTCAGTCAGTGTCCTAGCTGAGTTATGTGAATATTTAAGGTCACCATGTTTCCTGTTAGTCATCTCTAATGTGTTTCCAAAGAGTGATGGAGGTGATGAAAATGGCTCGGACAACTTCATGCACAGCATGGACCCTCAGTTAGAGCGGCAGGTGGAGACAATTCGCAACCTGGTGGACTCGTACATGGCAATCGTCAACAAAACCGTGCGCGACCTGATCCCAAAGACAGTGATGCATCTCATGATTAACAATGTGAGTCACCTGGGGAAAAAAGGAAAAAAACTAAGTTAGATGTGGCAGATAAAATACATACTTTGTTTTGTTTTGTAGACAAAAGACTTCATAAATGCTGAGCTCCTGGCTCAGCTTTACTCATGCGGTGACCAGAACACTCTGATGGAGGAGTCTCAGGAGCAGGCGCAGCGGCGTGATGAGATGCTGAAGATGTATCACGCCCTGCGGGAGGCGCTGAGCATCATTGGCGATATCAGTACGACCACTGTGAGCACCTCTATGCCACCTCCTGTGGATGACTCTTGGCTGGCCGTCCAACGGAGCGGTTCTGGAGGAAGGTATATCATGAATAGATTAACTTAGAGGTAAAGGGTGGCCTCAAAAAACACAACTTTAAAAACTCTGATATCAAACAATAAGATAATTTTTCTGATTGGCTCATTTTTTTTGGCAAAGGAAACAAGAAATATAATTAATTTCTTCCAGTAAAAAACAAACAAGAATATTAGAACAACCTGAAAAGTTTAATTAATTATCCAGATAACTTTTCTTGGCATTTTAAAGCCATTTCGGTTTTAAGGATCTTTATCATTTAAGCATCTTTAAACTAATCCCAATTTGTAGGCAGGTGTGACAGACACTTTATTCTATCCACCATCAGATCCCCAGCAACCAGTCCAACTCCTAACCGCAGGGCTCCACCAGGTCCTCCAGCTCGCCCAGGCTCCCGTGGACCCCCGCCTGGGCCTCCTCCTGCTGGGGGACCCCCTTTACCATCTCGCCCCGGGGCATCCCCAGATCCTCACAGCGGCCCACCGCCCAGTGTGCCCTCTCGACCTAACCGTGCGCCCCCCAGTGTGCCAAGGTGAGTAAAACCAGGAGAAACCCTTTAAAACCAGCAAAGCTCTTCAAATGGAAACATGTAGCAAATTTCAGAAGCAATTTAAATATTCAAACCATACTTTATGATATTTCATGTCAGGGGAATGTGAAGATGCCTGGATGAAGGGAAAAAGGAGGTAAATGGAACTAGATTGTAATATAGAATAGCTGGTTAGAAGATTGCTAGAAATCCTGAAATAGATCAAATCAAAGTGGTATCAACTAGATTTTATACCCCTTATTTTTATAATTAGGTGAACATCTGACTTCTTTTTGGTGTCTCGCACTAAACATATGACATACATTATTTCATCATTAACTTCAACTCTCAAGCATCTCATTATTTTTACCCAATTGACTCTGCATCTCTGCTGCTGTTATCCTTGTATATTTCTTTGCTTTCTATCCTTTTGTGTTTTTTAAGCTAAAGTCAGAAGCTTGAGTCTCTGTGTAAAGCTCTCTTTGGAAAAAATAAAAATAAAAATTAAACCAATTTTGCAAATAAATTAAATTATCTCACTATGGCTATTAAGCACAAACGTATTGCTAAAGAGAGCTGAGCACATGCAACACTGGCCTTCCACCTTCACTGTAACTGTTTGCACTTCTTCTGTGTCCCCCCTGCTCCTCTCTCTCTTCCCCCCTCTTTCCCCACTACATTTCTGTTACACACATCACTATTGTTCCTTCTGCAGAATCACTATCACTGACCAATGAGGACTAGCTATTTTTTTTTTCGGTATGTTGGATACTGTGTGCCACTGTGGTCCTCATTATGACCAGAATCCTCTAAAACACCTTGGATTCCATCTTTTTGTTGCATGACATTTATCTTTGTAATCCTTGTCCTCTTATAACAATGCATGCCTGCTTTTTGTACGTTTTTTTTGTGCACAGGAACAATTGAATAATTTGTTTTAAAGATCCATCGCTTTTGGTTGTAACATTCCACCGGTCCTTTGGTACGTCTCTGTTGGTTTTAGAAAACTGAGCTGTATTTAGCTGGATATGCAGGGGCAGCCTCTTCATTTGCCCTCACATTTAGGCCTAAATGGTGTGATTTGTTTCCACATTGACAGAGTCTGATAACTCTGTAATGTTGGTAGTACTTACATATGTTGTCTATGTCAATATCACAAAATAAAGTTTTGTGAAAATGAATGTACAGCACTTTAAACTTTCCACATTATGTCACGTTACAACCCCAAACTTCTGTTTTATGGACATTTGATGTGATGGATCAACACAATTGTTGAGTAGAAAGTAGATATATAGATGACAACTTGAAAATCTAGATGTATTTATTTTAAATTTTGTGTCTATCACTTTTACCCATCTAGAGACTAGATATGTCCATTCTTCATATTGGAGGGAGAGTGTCTGTGAGCATCAGAGTTAACACCTTGCGTCTGGTTCTCCATTGGTTTTAGGGCTGAAATTTGGATAATTTTAACACATGGATATGAAAGAAAGATCCCCCAAATCTTTCAGCCTCTCCTGTTACTGCTAAAATGAAATCCACACAACATGATGTAGCCACTCTATGTTGACAGATGCTGTTACGTGTTCAGGGTTAGCTTTTCATAACAGTTTAGTTTTGGTGTCCTTTCTTTTAGCACATGCTTTCTTCTCGTCACTGCTGGGGACTGCACAGCTAATGTCAATAGGTTTTCTTAGTTAAGATGTGAATCTTAGCTGCTCCTCCAGAGTTAACTTTGGTCTCTTGGCAGCACGGTGGACAGCTGTTTTTGGTCGGGGAAATGATCCATACTTTTTATTAGAACAGCTGAATTAAAAAAGAGCACAAATTCGATACAATACAGGCTTATTATTTTCTTAATATTTGAATAAAAGTCACGGTTGTAGCAGCACAAAATGCAACATAGTCGAAGGGGAGTGAAAGCTGTTGATGGTTGTGTGGGTCAGTAAAGGTTTAGTGCTTTTATACATCTGTTGTCCATTCAAAAATGGACATTGGGTGTCTATTTAAAAAAAAAAAAAAACAACAAAACAATAAAGCCCCCTTCCTGTAGAATAATTTGACCTTTCTTCTTGTCATCATGTCTCTGTTTGTCCATGCCAGTCGGAGACCCCCGCCTTCTCCAACACACTAGACCTCAGAGTTCCTTCCTCCCTCCTTCATCTGTCGTTTCCCACCCTCTGGATGAGAGTTGCTACGGACAACAGCGCCACCTTTCTGTCGTCTCCTGACCCTCCCGCCTCTCCACTACACCCCCTCTTACCCTGTAACTCTGTTTCCACACAGAGAAGTGAAATACTTGAAAGCATGACTTACATGCAAGTTTGTTCCTCATAATTTAACTGTAGACACCATGAGGTGAACCATATTAGACAATTGAGTCAATGTATTGTATATCCAAGGGAATTCAAAGCATAATGTTTCCATCTTCTTATATCTAGAGGGGCAAACATTTGCAAAGTTAGCATGAAGCTAAGCCTGATCATTTTTCCTGAATTAGCATTGGTTTACTCATGTTTTTAAAAGAAATGCTTCACCTGAAAAATGTTTTGAACAGGGTAACGTACAGAAATAAAACAGCAGCAGAAACCTTTTTCACGATCTAGAAGTACTGGGTAACTTGTTCAACATAGATATATTAGTGAGCATGTAGATGTTCTGATCTTGTTAAATCTTCACTTAATCTCAAGAGAACAAATTATTATCTTTGCAAAATTCACAACTCGGTGTTTAAAGTATTTCTTTAGGAAAAGGGGTGCAAAATTAATTCAGGCTACATTGTTTTTGGTTTAATTCTATTTTAAGCTTTTACTTTGTACTCATGCTAGGCATTACAGCAAGCGAGGAAACAATCTCAGAGTGTTTTCTATATTCTCTTTCACCTTTCCTCCTGGATTTCTCTCTTTTAATGTTAAGGGAAGTTTTCTTTGACCTCCATTTTGCCAAATAAGCTCTGGTTTCACACTTTATGACCCATGAACAGTTGATGAAACAAGTCTCATAAAAAGCATCCAGCCACTGTTCAGCTTTTAAATTAAGCATTGGTAGTCTCCATTATTCCTTTCTCTTTTTTAAAGCTAATCCGTCCTTTTCCACCATCCAAAACTGGAAAAAGGACAGCACCACCTATTCAACACTTTTCACTCAGATCAAGAAGAGGATGACCTCTGGATTCTTCAGTCTCAAAAAACTGAATGGAAAAAAGCTTCTTCGTCTTTCCCTTCTATCGTTTTTTTCTCTCCTCCACTGCTGTAAAACAGAAGCAGAAACATCTAATGGACCCTCTGATTACTTATTTAGCCAGTTGCAACCTTCAGTCTAAGTGTTGTTCCCATCAAACATCATTACTGCATCCTCTTAAACTGCTGTGCTTTCAAACAACCTATGCAAAAAAAAAAAAAAAAAACTGGGCTTTTCAGTCCTTTAATGACAAATCCTTCTTATATACCTGCTTTTCCTTTCTATGTTCCTCTCCTTATTAAGACGTCATTGATGCTGCTTAATTCTGTAGAGGCGGTGTGTATATGCACCCTTTGTCAAATGCAATCGCAAACTTCAGTGTGTTTTATTGGAATTACATCACAAGGACCATTTTAAGTTATTTAGGGGTAAAGCATGGATCAAGGTACATCATGGATATAGAAAACTCTTATAGAGCAGGTAGAAGTTAAGCAAATATAAGCATTAATGAGCACAGATCAGATCAGAACGGTGAACACTCACTTGGAATGGAGACTATAAAATCTAAGAGCAGCTGGGAAGGATCTGCGGCAGTGCCTTTTTGGGCACCTAGGGTACAGTAGTATAAAAACATTATATTCTGGGCCATAAAGACAGGATTTTGAGAAATGTTGCCCTACATTGCTTGGAACAAACTGGAAACTGAACTTCTTACAGCTATCTTTTTTCCTCTCTTTCATGAAAGCCAGATTTTTAAAGTCTACGACTAGAACATCCCAAACAAATTCTCCTATCTAAACAGTTTCCCTAGAATTCACTTTCATCAAGATGTATTTAATTAAATATGAATGCCACACTCTAATTTAATATTTGTAGAAAAGGTTTGAAAACAATTTTTGCTTTTGCATTGGTTTAACTCATAGAATCCCATTAAAATAAACTGAAGGTTGTGATTGCACTCCAATAAAAACAGGCTCAAGAGGGCTGATTACTTTTGAAAGTCTACTAGTATAACAGTACGGGTGGTTCTGTGGATCTCACTAGACCCACAAGAAACCAGAAATGTTGAATCCACAAAAATATACTTTTTAGCCTGAGTAGTTTCTTTAGACTGTTAGTCTCAACACATTGTGTTTTGTAAATAGAAAGGATAGCCATTTACCTCCAATTCAGTTTATCCAGTTATGTCCAATGTTTTGATAAACAGGAAAATACCTGAAGGTTTATTCTACTTGATCATATTCTTCTTCTCCTTTTTTTCTGCTCTATTTTCTCTCAGTGGTCACGGGGGTGAGTGAGAACATGAACTATCCCAGTCTATGCATAAAAGTACGATTCCTTGTGTTGAGCCTCACATTGCTGAGCACAAACCACCTTTTCATTTCTTCTTTACCCACCACTGACCACTGCTGTCAGTGTTTCATGTTGTATTTTGATCCCTGGAAACGACCCACTAGCCTTACACAAGACAAAATCCTCATTTTCACCCTGAGATCATTGTTTAAATCATTACTACTGAAGAAAAAAAACACTACACCTGTCTGTGCATCCTTGATCTCCACATCTGCAAAGCCTGCATATCAAATCATATCTTATTTATATAAGTTAAAAGTTTATTTCTTAATGTGTTATTATATGTACATGTGGTGCATCTGATTAGAAATATATTCCTTTCTGTTTAGATTATTTAGTTTGCATTGTGTGAAGCATCTGAATATTGAACTAAAGCAAGTAAGCATAATGAAATACTTGAAAAGCTAAAAGGAAAATAAAAATATTGTGCTGTAAATGGATGGTTGCAGGTTGTTTGATACTTTTGCATGTATCAGGGTGGGGTGTATTTGTTTTCTGTTTCTTTTCCTTTGAGTTCATAAAGTCAAATTTGCGATGTGATTGTGTGAACTTCCACTGAGGAAAACTCCTTCCTCTCACATCTGCTGATGTGGAAGAAGCTGTAACATTAAAACACAATAAAGACCTCTGTGTGCTGTAATGTTTGCTCTTTTCTTTTTTACCTTAAAAAAAAATAAAAACACGCAGGTTAACTTATTTGGCACTTTAGTTAAATTATTACAAAGCTATCCATAGTAAAAACAGAACAAAATTAAATTAGTTAGATTTGCATTAGGAAAAATCTAATGATCAAATATTGATATGAATTTAATTAAGAAAACATTTAGGTTGTGAATAATTTTAAGTTTCATTTTTTGCTTTTTAAAATAAAGCCCACACCAGCATATTTTAACATGACATTCTTCAAAGATGTGCCTTTAGGAAACATTTCCAACAGGATTTAGAACAGTGGCGCGCACAGACATTTTTGGGATCAGGTGCTCAGGTTGGAAAAAGGGCACTTTAAATGTCGCATGAAGCCCCCAAAAGCCAAACACCGTCTGATGCTGATGTTTTAACGATCCTCCGCAGTCCATAGATAGAAATGCCACATTGGTGTCACTTAAATACCAATTCAAATCTGCTAATATAAAGCCCAGGATTCCAGAATAACTTTAACTTTTTTTGGGTATTTATGACAATTTACAAATAATATAAGATTTACATTTAAAATATGAAAAAAACCTAACTATTTTTTTTATTTCAAGTGCATAATATATAATAATCTTTTTTAAGATAAAAAAATTTCATTCCACTGACAAATCATCTTCCCTATTCAGATTAGGGCCAAATAGTTATTTTCAGAAAATGTTACATATTTTCAGGTCATTTTTTTTGTAGGCAAAGAGAAACAAAGAAATAGGAAAAGCAGCTTTATCTACACGCCCCACTTTCACTAAATAGAATTGTATTAAAGTTATTTTTACAAATTGTAATCATTTAGTCTTATGTTTGCTTTTAAATGAAATGTTTAACAGACAAAAGGTAACCCCTGTGCTGTGCTGTAGTTGTATAAAAAAGGCAAAAGGATGTCATCAGGGAGTCCCTGACTTGGACCATTATAGCAAATCAATAATTACATCTCAGATGCTTTAAAGGTATTGTGGAGGATTTTTACATATTTTTTAAATGACCTGCCCACTCCCCAATCCTGCCATTTTCAAAGAACCGCTGTGAGAAAGGTGAGCTTCAATGACTGAAACTGTAGCTCACCACAGATATGCGGCTGAAAGTGCGCATGCACAGAAAAAGATAGCTAATTGGGGCTGAGCATGTTGGACAGCCTTACCTAAACATATCACCAGAATGATTGACAATTAGGAGGACCACTTATTTAGATGATCCACCCAGAAAAGGAAAATCCTCCGCTGTACCTTCAAGTTACAGAGTTGCATTTTAAATCGTTACTTAGTGCCTGGTAGAGGCGATGTAAGATGTTATGCTGTTAACTTTTGAACTTGGTGAAATAAAGCTTGTTTAGTAACCTGGACACTTAGCTAGCACATTACCAGGGCAAGGTTCTATTGTGGTGTTACATGATGTATGTGCATAGAGCAAAATTACAAAAATGTAGATTTCAGGTGTGATAGGCTTTAAATTCATAATGGACTAAAAAAAGTCAAAAAAAAAAAATATTTCAGGAGGGCACTCTTTTGTCCAGAGGGGAGGTGCTCTAGCACCACCTAGTCTATCTGTGCATATTTCTGATTTAGAAAAGAAAAAAAAATTGTCCCACCAGAAATATTTTTGATGTTGTAAAAGAAGCAAGAGCCATTAAGTGTTTTTAATGTTCTTTTTTTTATTATTTGCACATATCTAATTCAGAACAATTTGGACAATCTCAACAAAAAGTCCAGACAGACTGAGTTGCTCAATCAGTTTTATTCGGGAAAGTATTGAGAGGAACAGCTTGTGTTGAAGCAGCACTCAAATCAGCTTTGCTATGCGATCCTTCATCCTAAACTCACTTCAAGTTTATAATAAAACTGATTAGATGACATACTAACTTAATCCAAATAAATAAAGTTTATTGTATAATTGATCTTTGTAATAAACCACAGCCAGTCAGTAACTGTCAACATCTGTACTCTGCACCAACATACATACCATCCATACAGCCAGTTATTGAGGCAAAGCAGATCCCCCCGCATCAGGCAAAATGAATATACAATATATTACACAGTTACAGTATTTACACAACACCCCTTTTACAGTAAAGACAGTAAATGTTTTACTTGGTGTCAACCTTAAACGGTAAATTAGGAATTTATAATTTATTTCATCCACACTGCTGATTTTACACAGCTTGAAAAGAAAGCAGGTTTGGTTTTGATTTGTTTTCTCAGTCTGACAAAAAAAAAAAAAAAAAAAAAATTTTTTTAAAACATTGGTTTTCTAATGGGTTAATAGTAAAAGGTGCTTAAAAGATGGTCGTAATTTACTGTGGGCGCTTCTTATATTTTCTGTAACCCATATTTTAGATTACTGATCTTTTCTTTTTTTTTTCAGTGTGCAAAAAGTGACAAATTCTGCACAACTACGTTATGGTCTGATTCTTTATACATTACATTTGATTCCAATTTAAAACAAAAATACCCTAAAAGAAATAAAGAAAATCACAAGCTATTAGCCAGACTGTGAAAATGTGAACCCTACTTTCACGAGGATTGCATATTTCCTCTTTACCCAACTGGTCCAGAAATTGAGTAAAATAACTTTTTTTAAGGTAAAGGTTCCTTTAAGCTGTTTTATCTAAACCCATGTCAATAATCCAAGTCCACCAGAGAAGACACTGACAACTATAATCAGGGGAATCCTCAGCATGAGTGTGAAGCTTCATAGGACCCCCACCACACTGAAACTATGTCCCACTATAACCCCACAGGGGGCAATGGGAAGTTTTGTACAGTTTTAGTGCAATCATATTTGTATAATCTGACAAAACTTTACAAAAAAAAAAGAAAAGATGCACTTTTGGCTAGGAAAATGAAATCCGCATTCCAAGCAAAAACTCACCCATTCCAGTTGTTAAAGGTGTTTATCGAGTCATCTGATATGTTAATCAACACATAAACGTAACAGAAAATAACAGGCTCTAAAGAATAGCGTCCCAAACATTTAGACCCCATGAAAATGTTTTAGTTCTCAATGAGACGTTGAGGAAGAGAAGGGAGTGGCAGGAATGTGAAAGATGCAGTGGTGGAACAAACCAATAGGCTAAAAACACATGCTGTGATATATCAGTGTCTATCAAAGTAAAACCAATTCAAAGAAACATTTTGGGAATAAAGGTGCTGCACAGCAAGCCAAGCTTGAAGTGACAGCTTTAAACAC